CCCCCCCCCGGCACCCACCGAAAATTTTCTCATACTTGCATAGGTGAGGTTGAATAGTCAATTACTTTATAAAGCCGAAATTTTGTTGTGCCAGCTTTAATAATTAATTAATCAGAAACAAACTGCTATGTTTACACGGCTTCGGCCGCCGGGAAGTCTCTTCCAATTTGCGGTCACACACAGTAAATCATAAAAACCAATTAGATTTTGATAGTTTTAAACGTGTTTTCTTCAGTGTCAAATCTATCAAACTTACCCATTGAAAGATCATTGAACTGTTCCTTAACGCATATATATTCGTGTTTTCTCTTGAAGTCATTTCTCATATTCTACTTACGTTTACGAAAATAATCAGTTCCTGAGAGACAACCTTACTAGACAGGAAATGGGACATGCAATCTATGGCAAGATTACTTGTACGAGGAACAGCTCGCCTGATGATCATGATCGTGGCTTAAGTGATATAATCGAATCATTTCACATGCTTAATAATCATTGTGTACCAACAAGTGATTCCACAGAGAAGAAACTTTCTTGGTTACGTTCACAAATCATTGGCGGGAATTCAGAATTCAACACCCCGTTTGGAAAGCGCGGGCTCACTTATTCTGATCACACTGCCTCCGGCCGGTCTCTTCAATATATCGAAAATTACATCCTAAATCATGTTCTTCCATTTTATGGTAACGATCCATTTTTATATGCATGATTTTATTTTTAATTCTTGAGTCAAATTTAAAGTAGATCAAATGGAGGAGGATGTTGTGGCAAAAAATTTAATGATTACTGTACAGGTAACAGTCACACTACAGACAGTTACGTAGGCTACCAGACTACGAAAATGGTGCATGAAGCAGCAAATTTCGTAAAGAAATGCTTAGGAGGTGGCGAAGAAGATGCAATAATCTTCTGTGGTTCTGGATCAACAGCAGCTATTAAAAGACTGCAAGAAGTAATGGGATTAGCTATTCCTTCAATACTAAGAGATAGATTCTTGAAATGTCTAAGCAAAGAAGAAAGGTGTGTGGTTTTTGTTGGCCCGTATGAACACCACTCCAACCTCCTCTCATGGCGGCAGAGCCTGGCGGAGGTGGTGGAGATTGGCCTGGATCAAAAAGGGTTGCTGGATATGGAATCCTTCAAAATCCAACTCGAATTTTATAAATCGAAAAACAGGCCAATTCTTGGATCCTTTTCAGCTTGTAGCAATGTCACTGGGATTTGTTCAGATACACGTGCAATATCTCGACTTCTTCACCAATTTGGAGGCTTCGCTTGCTTTGATTTTGCAGCAAGGTAAAAAATTAATAATAATAATTTATTTCCTGAAAATTAATATAAAAGCAGTATGATTATATGTTATATATATTGATTTTTAATCTTGAATATAGTGGTCCTTACGCGAAGATTGAGATGAGATCAGGAGAAATTGACGGGTATGATGCAGTTTTCCTTAGCACACATAAATTTCTGGGAGGTCCAGGTTCCCCTGGGATTCTGCTAATGAGCAAGGTCCTTTATCGGCTGGGGTCTTCTCCCCCATCAACATGTGGAGGTGGAACTGTTAATTTTGTTAACAGTTGCAACGAAGAGGCAAGTGGGTTTACTTCTGAGTTAGAAATCTCGACTTTCTTTACTCTTTTATACATAGACTATCGCGGTTGCTAAGAATTTAGTTGCATTGCATTTTTCCACAGCAATATTCGAATGGCATTGCAAAAATGGATTATGTAGCTGACCCCCAATTGTTACTGATAAATCCTGAATTTTGTCAAATTCAGGACACTTTATATGTTGACAACATAGAAGAAAGGGAAGATGCTGGAACTCCACAAATCATTCAGAAAATCAGAGCAGCATTGGCTTTTTGGATAAAAGAATACATTGGTTACAAAACCATTGAGAGACTTGAACAAAATTACATTGAAAGAGCACTCAAAAGACTTGTTCCCAATCCCTACATATGGGTATTAGGCAATACAAAAGCCAAAAGACAAGCCATGTTATCTTTCCTCATTTACTCTACTACAAGTTCATCATCATCTGAGCTAAACCTGTGGAAAGAGACTGGAAATACGAGAGATAAGCCGCTTCACGGCCCATTCGTTGCCAAGCTTTTGAATGACCTTTTCGGAATACAGGCCCGGGGAGGTTGTGCTTGTGCAGGGCCTTATGGACAGAGTTTGCTCAATGTCAATGAGTCCCATTTACTCGCCCTCAGGTTGGCCGTTGAAAAGGTTAGTTTTGTTAGTTTTTATTGCATGTTGTAAACTAGAAACGTGACAAAATTATCGAATGATGACAGGGTTATGTTGGAGTAAAGCCAGGATGGACAAGAGTGAGCTTTCCCTACTACATGTCTAAGGAAGAATTTGAGTTCAATCTTGCAGCAATTGAATTCCTAGCCATTTATGGGCAGAGATTTCTTCCTTTATACCAGTTCAACTGGAGAACTGGTGCATGGAATTTCGACGAAAACACCCTAAAAAATACGTTTCTTGGAGAAGAAAATAATTTCAATCCTAATGGTTCATCCTTAGCCACTATAATCAAAGCATCAAATCAGATGGAATTTGATGGTTTGATCATCAGCAGATATGCAAATTATTTGGAGACTGCAAAACGCATTGCAACCCTTCTTCCAAAATTTCCACCAGAGAGAAGGGTACCGGAAGATATTATCATTGATCTTGTGCCCTTCAGAATTTAAAACGTTAAACTCAATTGGAAAGGACAATTTCTTGTTTATTTTTCATCAACTATTTGGTTGCATTGTGAATGGGTAAAGAAAATAATTTTTCAGTGTGGATGTAAGTTAATTTATTCATTTATTTTTCGTAGTACAAATAGAATAAATTATTATTATTGACTTAATAGGAGAGACGACTCCATTAGTCAAACTAGTAAAATGGTAATCAAGAAAGTCTAACGAATTTGAGTAAAAAATACAAATAAAAAATCAATGATGAACATATGATCCACCCTTATTAAAGTCTTCACAAAATTTTCAAAACATTCGATATGTTTCTAATTTTCGAGCTTTGACTTCGAAAGTCAATGATCCACTCTTATCAAGCTCTTTCAAGAATGATTCCTACCAAGGCTGCCTGAGAATTTTGAGGCTCCAGGTGGTTTAAACATACATTTTTTTTACAAAAGTAACACTAAAATGGATGTGGTGTGTGTTAGTTTGCTGAAAAATTATGTTGTAACATGGTTTAAACAAATTTTATTTATTTATTTATTTTTATAAATGTAATACTCCTTTAAAAATGGATACAGAGTGTTAAATCAAAAGTATACAAAAGAGTGAAATAAAGTTGAAGTATTTTTCAAATCAATTTCCAGCCGAAAAAGTTATGCACTATTTTTAGTCTAAACTTGAAACCCATTTTTGGATAGAAAACGTTCAAATTGGAAAAATTGTACTTCTAAAAGAATTGTATCTCTTTGAGTTATCTTTTCAACGCACTTGAATAATCTCAATCGAATAACAGGAGAGAAAGTTATACCAAAATACCAAAAACTGCTCAGGGATAACACGCACAATCCGGCACGCGCGCAAAGACCATTCATGGCACACGCAAGACACAAATTTTGTGACCCAAATGCCACTTGGCTCAATGGCGAGCACTACAGTTTTGCCTATGTGACCGCAGGCTTTTTCTGCAGACGAATTAGCAGTTTCCTTTTGTGATTCAAATTCTTTTCGAACGCGAATAAAAAACGAGGGCTACACACTAAATAACTGTCTCTTGCCTCTTCATAAACAATAGTATCATCAGATTCATCGAGAATAAAGGGTCAATTCATTAGTTTTGGGAGAAGAGATCAAGCCATAGTAAGAAATTGAAGCTCAATTACATTAAAATTTTGAAGAATTCAACCTTGGACTTGAAGATTAACATCTTTTGAATTATTTCATGATCTAGGTGATATTTTATTATTCTTTTTGTAATTTATATATTAATATGTTATGCTAGATCCGCTTTTGTATTAGATGAAGATGAACCCTATTTATTATTTATTTCTAATTCAAGATTAGTGGTTTAGTTTAATTCTTCTGTTTCTTGATTAATTTCGCATACCATTGCATTATGTAATTGATTGGCCATCAATTATTAGCTGCTTATTGTAGTGTTGGAGACTCACAATAAGATTAGAACGTAGTAAAATTAATATATGTGCAATAGATGTTAGGAATAACATTTATCACTTATGCAATCATATAGATAATTTAAACTTTAATGCATTATAATAATTCAAATTCGGGCTAGGAACAGATTCTGATCGTGGTTAGGATAGATTTTATTTGTCTTAGAAAATGAAATTATATATCATAACTTTATTGATTATCAAGAATACATAAAAGGAACTAGATTACAAATCAATAATTAAAATAGATACCAATAGGTAGATTCGAAATCCAATACAATTGTCCATAATTTGACAAAAACCAAACTTTTATTCATTTCTTATATTGATTTAGAATAATCACAAAATCAAATTTTGTTTTATTTACATAATTTGAATTCCATACATAACTAGTAAACTTGAATTGAAATTTATTTGCTATGGGAAGATACTCTCAACTTATCAATTCTATTACCTGTCAACGATTCTGTAAGCCTACGGGTTTCGCACAAACAAGTTTTTGGCACCGTTACCAATAAGTAAAGTATTTAATTTGAGTTTATTAGTTATTTTCAGATTTGAAATTTATTTATTTATTTATTTTAGGCTATTTATTAAATGAACTAAGTCTTTTGTTTTGCTCTTTTCAGAAAATCACAGTCTATGCAAAATTCTGATGAGGTCGAACTTCTTTCAATAGATCACGAAATCAAAAGAACTGTTAAACAGTGAAGAAGAGAACAGAGACAAGCAAGAAAAATGACAAAAAATCAACATTCGAACTAGATTCAAAATCATTTACCATTTCCTCAAGCAATTCAGCCAGATTGGCCGAGAACAGTTGCAAATCATGGAGAAACTTTAATGGAGGATTGTGCAAATCCTATTTAGGCTCCTATGCAACCACCTATCATATATCGACCTTTTGGACATGCCAACTTCCATATTAGACCGGATGTTATCAACTTATTTCAAAATCATCAGGACATCGGGTTCTTTAAAAGATCAACTGAAAATCCTCATGAACATGTTCAGGCCTTCTTGATGCTTTACGATATGATTAGTCACGAAGGCATGACTGTTGACCCTTTTCGACTGCTCATATTCCCTCACACTTTAAAGGAAGGAGCATGAAAATTGCTAAATTCACTAAATCCTAGGAGTATCGTTTCATGAAATGACATGGTGCAGAAATTCACTTTAAAATTCTTTCTGACTTCTTGAGTCCATTAGATCAGGAATGAAGTCCATACTTTCAAGAAAAAAGACCTCGAGAGCTACCTAGAAGCATGGAAAAGATTCAAGGCTATTTCAGAAAGTGCCCAAATCTGAACATTTTTAAAGATTCTAAGATCTACATATTCTAGACATGCTTGAGAACTGTATTTTGCAACATAGCCGATGCTTCAATAGGAGGGTCAATCCTGGATATTCCATTGGACAATTCTTTAGATATTTTTGAGAAAATTGTAGAAAATCAGTCCATGTGGTCTATAGACAAGGAAGTGAGAAGGAGAACAGTGGAAATTTACAATATAGATGCAGTGAAAGAAATGGCAGCCCAGCTGAAAGTACTAACAAAGAAGTTGAACAAACTAACTTAAAATGTGAGCATGGTGCACCAACCAACACCAGTTTGCGAGGGCTGTGGGGTAGATCAAATAACTGCAAGTTGTGTGTTAGCTTCCACAAATGTTTATCAACTTGAGAAGGTCAGTTATGCATAGAGCTTTTAGAGACAACAAAATAATCCTTATTCCAACACCTGTAATCTAGGTTGGAGCAAGCATTCGAACTTCTCATAGGTTAATAATCACGGATAGGGATATCAAATTTAGGGCAACCCACAAAGAATTTCAGCAGCAACAGGAAATCAGGTCATCTTTGGAGGATCTACTTGCTAAGTACATCACCTAGACTGAGACTACAATTTAGAACCAGCAAGCCTCTATCCAAAATTTGGAAAATCAAGTTGGACAGTTAGCAACTGCATTGGTCAATAGAACACAAGGAACCTTGTCAAGCGACAAAGAAAAGAATCCAAGTGAACGGATATTAGCAATTGAAGCTATGGATCATGTAATTATTGAGGTACCATCAATCAAGCCAACTATTCGTGTTTGAGCTTATGTGCCGCCAACCCCATTCTCTCAAAGATTTCAAAGACAGGTTAAAGAGGAACAAGTTTAGGACATCACAACGAGAAGTGGAGTATAGTTACCAGAAATTACGGTGAAGAAGAAAGAGACAGAGGAGAATTGGGTGCCTACCAAGGGTGAGGAACAATTAGTACAGTTTAAAGAATCAACAAAGGTTAATCAAGAAAAAAGTCGGATAGTGTACATGTTAAGAAAATTGTTCCTGTCAATAAATACGCACCACTAGTCCAATTTCCTCAAAGGTTGTAGAACAATAAGTTGGAAAAGCAATTTACGAAGTTCTTGGATACTTTTAGAAAACTTTACATCAACATTGCTTTCATTGATGCCATTCAACAAAATTTCAAATTACACAAAGTTTCTGAAAGAGATGTTAACTAAGAAGAGAAAGTTGCCAATAAATGAAACTGTGACATTGACTGCAGAGTGAGCGCAATCATAAAGCATATGCTCACTCTTAAACTAAAAGATCCTGGAAGTTTCACTGTACCTTGTTATATAGGAAATTCACATAATTTAAATGCTTTACTTGACTCTGGAGCAAGTATTAATCTAATGTCACAGTCTATATACGGGAAATCAGGATTTGATATTCCAAAAGCAACATCAATAATCCTAAAGCTAGCTGACAGAACACTCAAGCATCCTTATGGAGTGGTAGATGATATACTTATCAAAGTTGGAGATAATTTCTTTCCAGTTGATTTAATAATCCTTGATATAGATGCTCAACATATGCCGTTAATTTTAGAGAGATCATTCTTATCAACTGCATGAGCATTAATGAATTTTGATAAGGTGAAATAATTTTAAGGGTGGAAGAAAAACAGCAAAATTTCACCATGAATGCTCCACTCAAGCAACCACCAGACATTGAGAAGTGCAAAAAAGATAGACCTTTATGATTCGAGTGATTAAACCTGTAGGGTATTTAGAACCTAGTGCCCTAAAGTCATTTAACTTGGGAGTTATCGGTCAAAAGCTTGCTACGTGAGCTATTTAGAAAGCTTAATGAAGAAAAGTTTGCTCATAAGATGTGAAAAAAATCTATATATATAAAAGAAAAAATGATTGTTATATACCTTGATTAAGTTTCAAAACTTATTTTAGAAAATTAGACCTTTAACAAGAGGTTATTAGCTTAATTGATTCTTGGGGGTTGAAGTAATCAAAAATAAGAAGAATCTTCATTTGTTGAAATATTGAGTTTCAATTAGTAAGATCAAACCAAACTAGAGAATATGAGGACTAATATATAAATTCAATCTTAGATCAAACCTTGGGAATAGAGTTGAAAAATAAGTTTAAGGGTGTGAATCTTACAGGAGAAGAAATGATATATTTGACCATTGAGGGTCGAGACTTGAATAATTTTATAAATTTTTTATGTTTAATATGAATTTCACACACACACACACATCGATTTTACATTGAATAAGTAGATATTAATCTTAGCAATATGATTTTGTAGCAGTTCATAGTTTTGATACATATATTCTAATCCTAATACCAAAAGCAAAT